ATAAGATATAATTTCTAGCCTTTCCTTGTCCTTTTGAGGACAACGAAATCACATTGAAAACGTTTTGGCTAGGTACCCTACAATAAAAAAGGAAAAGTTCAAAAAAGTAATGAAACATCATTAATATCTCTATAAAAATTAATTATAAAAATCTAGATTAAAACCATTACAATGATTCTAAAACTACATTCCTATACATAACAAAGGACTCACGTGTAATTAAAGAACAAGCTTAAGTAAATTTAAAAAAGGTGACAATATTTACCATGGATAAGTTCTTCGGAGTAAAACTACATTGAACCTATAGGTTTGAAAAATTCATTACTACCAGCCGTAGTTTTGTTTTTATAATACGGGGCAATAGATTATTTACAACATTTGGATATACACCAATTGATTATTGAGGCAGTAAGTTTCATCCTTGGTCTGGGAATTATCTTGGGAAAATGTTCAAAAAGTAGTCGCAAACCTTCGCATTATATATGCTAGGAAATCTTCAGAAATATTGGGGTCATCTTCGGTAATCTTCGAAAATCTCCGGGTGATCTTTGGAAGTCTTCTAATTTGACTATTTTCGTAGGCTTTCGATCAGCTTCGACATCTTCGACAGACCTCGGATTTGTCGAAAATATTACATTTACTTCCTGCTTTCTTCAGAAATAACATAACATGATTTTTTTCACTCATGTTACTGGTAAGCTAAGCTCTTTTTTTAGCCAGTTAGAATTCAGTAATTTTTACAGGCTTGTAATTATTATCACAGACATGTTTATCGTGCTAGAGAATGATAAGGGCTAAGTAAACCACACACTTGTATTAAAAGTTTCTTTTCAACGTCCATTTGTGTGTGCACTTACTAACTTAGATAGGGAGCCCTCACGAAAAGGCTTGTTAAGCTATTCTGAACAATAGCACGCAACTAAAAAAAGCGGTGAAGAATATTTTCAGTATAGATGTTTTCTCATGTTTTTTTTTTTCTTAACATGATGGGAAGAGTTTGCGTTATAAACAAAACCGTATCACGCTTGATCGCGTTAAGGGAAAAAGAACTACATATATTACCTATAAAAACAAAGTTGGCTCTGTCGGTTCAATCATGACACGTGATCATGGTGATAGACAAGGGAAGACTTTCAATTGGCAATAAGTGCTCCGCACGCAAATATAGTGCTCTGGGTATTCAGAAGTCCTTTTAGCTGAGTTTCTAGTGTTATTCTCCGTAAACCAGCTGCTTTTAAAATTGCTGTAAAACACTTGTAACGCCGACACATAGAGACAGAAACGTTGACTCAGGGAATAAACTTAGTGTCATGCCAATAAAAATGTGTGAAAAAAAATGTGTGAAAACAAAATCTGAAAGATCCTGAAATAAATATTCCAAACGCTTAATGGACGTAACATGGTGTTCATTAGCTCTTTAAAATTTTAAATGAATATTTATGCCAGTGTTTACTATTCTCATTCACCCACTGATTCGCTGTTTTTCAAAACTTCTCTCTTGGCTAGCGACCGAAAATTATTCAGACAGAAAAGAAGTGCGTGAGAAAACATTGCAGTTTTATTTTGATACGATTTCCGACTTTATAACTAACTCGATAGCCTCTACGAAACGGCTGCTAATAAAGACAAATTGTACGAAAATAAAGCTAGTGCAATTATGGAAATTAGTAACCTGGAATATGAACAAAGTTCCTCGGTCGCCCTTTGAGCGAGGAAATAGGGTGGTCAATGGTCCTTTAGTCGTATTAATCAGTGAATATTTAATGCTAAGTAGTCCAGCCACTTATCTTTAAAGTTTTAACGTCTATGTTGCCGACGATATATAAAGTTATTGTGTACAAATTAACTCATCTGGAAAGTTATTTCAAAAGTGACGTAACAAAAACCTTGCTGACAGGCTTATTAAGTCCGTTTAATTAAGAAAATGTTTGTTCGTTTTATTTTTTCCAGCGAAATTCATAAGACGTGTGTGTGGTGTGTCCACTCGGCCTGCAAACCTCTGTGAACTGCAAAATTGATTTGATTGGCTCAAAATTAAGGAATAAGTATTGCCAGAAGCATATCACCTGCTTCTCAGTGGTATTGCTTTATCGATTAATTCCTCTTAGACTAAGTTATGGACGAAAATTAAGCGCCGTAAAAGCGCCGTAAGTCTGAACTTGTTTTTAACATGGTAAATGGATTATGAATGACATAGCAAATGGACTCCAAATTAAACTGTCATTTTCACCCTTAACCTGAATCCAAGGGCCAACTTAAATTTTATGAGGAAATTGAAATCTACGCGCTCACGAGATGAAAACAGGAACACAAAAAGAAAACGAAGTTCAACGTCTATTGCAGTGCAAACCAACCTGCCTCGATTCACACATTAATGAACGTGACCGAACTAAGGGTCATGATATCTTGCCACGCATTTATAGCTACAAAATGATGCGCGCTGTTTAGTCTGGTCACGTACATTGTTTTGAATCAACGTCGATCAATATTTTTGGGTTTCATGTGACGTCATTGCCGACATGTTTTTTTGCTTAATTAATTTGGCCATTCAACATGGCCGCCACAACTTCGTCATTTGAATCTGTCGGATTTGGGTGGAAGCCATCACTTGCAATTTGCACCACTGTATCTAGCTTAATAACGGTCGAGCTTCTTTGTGCCCTCTGTTTCTTTACTTCCGGCCGCAATATAACACTCTGAACTAGACCAGAAATATTTGAATTAAGAGCTCCTGGCGATTGGTTGAGAAAATCATTTTATTATTTACAAGTTCCTCTTACTGTTTACATTTGCTTCCTTTTCACTATTTACAATATCAAGGGAGGGGCCCATTTACTCTTATTTTGTTTTGTAAACAAAGTCATATTCCTCTTAACTGTGTCAGTGATTAAGTAAACTCAGTTAGCTCTTTATATTGCTCCACAGATGTTGCTTCTCACGTCTTGTCCGTGAATGCTTCAGTGGAGTAAATTGCTCACTGCCTTACATGCAGCTTCCTTTGCCGCTTGATTCTGCTTTTACTCTCCGATATCGCTGCCAGTTACATCCTGTATTTACATTAACTCATAAAAACGAATGAATTAACCTCTTATTGCTCCGTTTTGTCAGAATATTTTTAATATTTCTAATATGTGTCAGTGATCAAGTGAACTCAATTAGCTCTTTATATTGCTTTACAGACGTTGCTTCTCACGTCTTGTCAGTGAATGTTTCAGTGGAGTAATAATCGCTCACTGCCTTGCATGCAGCTTCTTTTGCCGCTTGATTCTGCTTTTACTCTCCGATATCGCTGCCAGGTACATCCTCTATTTACATTAACTCATAAAAACGAATGAATTAACCTCTTATTGCCCCGTTTTGTCAGAATATTTTTAAGAACAATTTCTTCCACTCCTTCTTCGTCTTCTTCTACTTCTACTTCCCTCTGTTCAATTACGTCCTAATACAAAGGAACACCTTAACATTACGGGCCGGTACGCGTAAATGATTTACCCGGGTGGGTTCAAATGGTTTAATCAACTGTTTAAAATGTTAGATGACAAACCTGAATAAGTTTAGAAAACGACATCAGATAAAGCGATGATTTTTGCTTTTTATAATCCAACCAGTACTGTCTCTGGCTATTCCGAAGCTTTCCTCAGTTGTGAAAGTATATTTCGCAGTATGTCCATGACAGCGCGTCTAATGGGTCTTAACTTCCAGCAGTAAATAACAGGGTTTAAAGATGAATTGAGTAATACCAGGGTCCATGTATAAATTGTGGACACCTTTGTTTGGGCATTTGATCCCTGTAATGCGATGAAAGCCAAACTAAAACTATTCGGCAAATAACAAAACAAAAACACGAGATACACATAAAATGTGCCGACTGCAGATTTGCTGGCGCTTGCAACATTTGCGGCCATTTCACCATTCTGGGCTTGAATTTGATGTTTGTGTCGTCGCACGGCCAAATAAATCCTGAAATATAGGCACGCTGAGACCACGTAACATATTATCCCATTGATTGCAAAAACCACGTAAGTAATATCGGTAGAGACCAAGAACCTGAACAATGCAAAAAGCACACTCAATATCCACATCACGACTACTACACCACCAACACGCCTGTGAGTCACAAGTTCCTGGTATCTGAGATGAAGGTGAATTGCCAAGAACCTGTCTACACTCAGAGCTGCGATACCGAAGAACGAAGCTTTAGACAACGAGTTTGTGATTAACGTAAATGCTGTATAGGCAGCACAAGTTGGATAGTTTTCCATATTTTGCCTTAGCCATTTGATCAGAAATGCGATGTTAAAAGGATGGCACAGTAAACCAACACCAAGGTCAGTAAAAGCAAGACTCAGAAGCAATGTTCTTAGAGGCTTTGACAAGGAGGAAGCTTTTCTTAGCGCCTGGATTGTGACGCTGTTTAATGCGATGGCGGTAATGGTTAGGAGAACGTTCAAGGCACAGCTAACGATGTACCATGGATAGAAATCTTCAACCTCGGTACCGGTGGGCTGGTATATCAGTAGCTCGTCACAGAGAGGATTTTTCATGATCTTGAATTGCTTCACAGGGAAAGGATATCAGAGGCTGTTTTAGCTCAGCAAAAGGATACTTTCCTAATCTTTCCTATACACAGACAACTTTGCTCTTGTTCCTCTTGTGTAGGCGCTCAAACCAGCTGCCAGGCAGTGGAGAAATAGTACCAATTTAGTTTTGAGCAAACGCGAATAAACGCTGTGTAAATAATTCGACATAAGAGAAAACACATTTTTCCTACTTGAATAATGATCTGGAAACACAGACATTCGATCTGACTTCGTTATTCATGACTAATTGTAAATTAAAATACCGTATTTCGTCGATGAAACCCTTCACCGCCCTTGATTAAGCGCCCAAATGGAACCAGGATATGTAAAATTCCAATCTATCCTCAATTAATAGTTTAAATGAATGTGTGAAGTTAAGGAAGACAGAATTACTTGACGATTGACAAGGAAAAAGCTGGACATGAAATAACTGCTCGGGGTCGCTTAATGGGTTTTTATGGTATTAATATTCCTTTACTCTTTTACTACTGACTGAGTAAATATTGTATATCCATTAAACTCTTGTAAACCAGGTACTTTTAAATTAAATTTGCTTCCCTCTCGGTCAAAGACAGACGGAAAAGGAGTTTGCGAAAAGAAAGGGTTATTATTTTATGATAAAATAAAGAAAAAATTGTACTATTGTTTAAAAAAGATGGTCTATATATACGGATGGAAATTTGTCAAACTAAGGAAGTCGTTTTCATTTAATCGCGCCGGTGAATATTTAGTATAAGTGCATTGTAGTCCAATCACTTTTCCGCTTAAAAACACATTCTAAAAAGAAGCACGTTCCAAAATACCGATTTTTGGCAATAATATAGTGCTTCAATGAAAGTTTCACCAAGTGTAGTCTAAAAGGATCAAGGCAGGCAGGATTTCGAAAGAATATGTTAAATGTTACCGCTCACCCATTGTATCTGGTTAAAGTTATCTCACAGAGCGTTATTTCGTCCGGAGGTGATGCAAGTGAGAATCAAATATATATGTTAATTTTCTTTTCTAATTTCCTTGGTGGCGAGCATTATTCGAATTGATTGCAATAGAATATGGAAATGTTCATGTACCCTCATGCACTACACATAAAGATACAAGGAAATTTCAATGAAACTTTATACAAAACACATATAAGGGAACAAGGAGATTTTCATGTACCTTTAATAAAATGTAAATGGTATTTCGACGAATCATGCAATCGACGATACATAGAATAGATTCTCTTGCTTATTGGTCTTTTTTGCTGTTAACGAATTGACCATTTTCGTATTCTCAGTACTGCACTGGAACTAGCTAGCAACTCTGGCTAATGTGATGATATTTTAATCTCTTTTTAATTATAAATGTCCTTTATTTTTGCATTGAATACAGATAGGAGCTATAATTTTCTACACCTATCTGCTCAACAATATCCTAGTGTTTTTAAGAGAAATTAGATTTCGATCAACCCTGGAACTGATTCACTCATTTATCATGGCCAATAACTCAGACGAAAGTGGTTAATCTGACGAGATTACTGTGGCCGTTGCTAAGTAACAGCGCCCTTAATTCCTAATCCCTTTGCTTTACGCGGGATATAGTTTTTCGACTGTATAGATGTCAAATGCCAGTTTAATTGTTGCCGTCATATACTACCTACTATAAATTAGGTAGCTGTTTCAGTATCGATGATGGACATCTCAGAGACACTTGAATTATTCTGGTTGCTTCCAGTTTGTGGTTTGGTTTTTCTGACCGCTTGCAGACTCTCTTGTATCTTTTGGACTTGCGAAGTGAGCTTCGAAAGGGCTTCTTGTACTTCAGTTAACTGCTCCGCTATCAACGGTAAGCTACAGGTTGCCTTGTTACCTGAGGAAATCAAATGATGAAGAAACATCAGATTCAAAAATTGATGACTGAACTATCAATTCTTTATCGTCTTTCATGCTGGAGGTTTGCAGAATTGGCCATCCTAGGCCTTATCTAAAGATAACGGAATTGTGAAGATTGAAGGAAATCCTCAAGTACTTCCAGATAATTTCTTTAATCTTGATGAATCATTTGAAATACGAACAGAGACAATGCTTAGAGTTTCGAACGAGATTTTCATAGACTGCGATGGATTCTTTCCTAGGCTTTACTCCTAGATACATATGTGGGAAGTAATTTTCCGAAGTCAGATATGTCAATCAAGATATTTTCTCTGTTTTGCTACTTTCTATGCAGTTTACAGAAACGTAGCCAAATCTTTTGTTTATTACGTTTATTAATAGAAAAGATTTACTTTGGTTTCCGTGGATTGCACACAAAAAATAGGCAACCATAAAACAATTGCATGTACGAAGTGACGACACAACATAGTGTCCGCCGTTCTTTTCAGGAAGTGACTGGATGAAAAATACTCAAAATGACGGCCAATTCGATTTGGAAAGTGACCTCAGGTTTTGACCGTTTTCTTTGATTTTGAAAGGAATAATTCTCTTTGTTTGCTGTTTTCTACAAATGTTGGTGATTTTCATAATTACGGTAATGACTGATATAAGATATAATTTCTAGCCTTTCCTTGTCCTTTTGAGGACAACGAAATCACATTGAAAACGTTTTGGCTAGGTACCCTACAATAAAAAAGGAAAAGTTCAAAAAAGTAATGAAACATCATTAATATCTCTATAAAAATTAATTATAAAAATCTAGATTAAAACCATTACAATGATTCTAAAACTACATTCCTATACATAACAAAGGACTCACGTGTAATTAAAGAACAAGCTTAAGTAAATTTAAAAAAGGTGACAATATTTACCATGGATAAGTTCTTCGGAGTAAAACTACATTGAACCTATAGGTTTGAAAAATTCATTACTACCAGCCGTAGTTTTGTTTTTATAATACGGGGCAGTAGATTATTTACAACATTTGGATATACAGCGATTGATTATTGAGGCAGTAAGTAACATGTTATACCTCTTACTAACCGAGCTCGAGGTCCGTACTGTAAGTTACGGACCGAGTTTTTTCGCCTTCGATTTATGGCCCAAGCGCGACGCGCGCGGGTCATAAATCGACCGGGAAAAAACGAGGATCCGTAACTTACAGTACGGACCGAGAAGACGAGGTTAGTAAGATATTTATTATATCTCTACTGTAATCCACACGAGATGCTGTTAAAGACGATGGCGGTAATGGTTAGCAGAACGTTCAAGACACAGCTAAAGATGTATTATGAAAAGAAGGACTGTTCCTCGGTACTGGTGGGCTGGCATATCAGCAATTCTCTACAGAGAGGAATTTTCACGACGATGAATTGCTTTTAAAAACAACACTCAAACGTCACAAGAAAATGCTTCCACTGTTTCGTTCTTTTTCTTTACCTAGAGGCCGCTTTAAGTCAGCAATATAAATGCAAGCACTGCCTTGATCTATACATTTAGTTGTGACCAGTTTCATTTGTCAAATATTTTTCTTGGATGCCATCATCATCTGAATCATTATTTTCTTTGAACATTTTTTGACTGATACGCTTCGAGCAAGACGATGGCTAAGGGATCAAATTTCAAAGTAAGAAAAGGTTTTGCGGTTTGAAACAAAACTATGAAGCCCCGATGCTGTCTGTTTTTGTTCTTCTTTATTACTACTTGAATTTTTTGAAACTGTAATAATGTATTTCGTCCATTAAGCGCCCATCTTCGATTCAGCGCTCTTCTTCCTATACAATCATGAAGCCATCACTATCCTTAAAAAAAGTAATAATGTACCAAGAGAGGAGAAAATTACTCCTTGTTTTTCGGAAAGAAAAAACGGGAAAAAAAGGGAAAAAGAACTATATATATTACCTATAAAAACAAAGTTGGCTCTCTCGGTTCAATCGTGACACGTGATCATGGAGAAGGGAAAACCTTAAATTGGCAATAAGTGCTCCGCACGCAAATATAGTTCTCTGGGTATTCAGAAGTCCTTAAGTGAGTATCCAGTATTATTCTACGTAAACCAGCCGCTTTCAGAATTGCTGTAAAACACTTCTAACGCCCACAGATAGAGGCAAAAACGTTGACTCAGGAAATAACCTTAGTGTCATACGATCGCCTTTCTTTACGCATCTGGGAAAATCCTATCTAACGCTCTGCAGGTCGGTCATTAAAATGTGTAAAAACAAAGTTCGCAAGGGAAAATCTGAAAGATCCTGAAATTTGAAATAAATATTCCGAACGCTTAATTGAACGAAATAAGGTGTTCATTAGTGCTTTAAAATTTTAAATGAGTATCCATGCCAGTGTTTACTATTCTCATTCACCCACCTAAGCCACCTGCGTCTAGTTTCGCTGTTTTTCAGAACTTCTTTCTTGGCAAGCGACCGAAGATTATACAGGCAGAAAAGAAGTGCGTGAGAAAAGATTGCAGTTTTAGTTTGATACAATTTCCGACTTTGAATCTGTCGGATTTGGGTGCAAGCCATCACTTGCAATTTGCACCACTGTATCTAGCTTAATAACGGTCGAGCTGCTTTGTGCCCTCTTTGCTTCCTTCAGGCCGCAAATTAACACTCTGAACTAGACCAGAAATATTTGAATTAAGAGCTCCTGCGATTGATTGAGAAAATCATTTTATTATTTACAAGTTCCTCTTACTGTTTACATTTGCTCCCTTTTCACTATTTACAATATTAAGGGAGGGGCCCATTTACTCTTATTTTGTTTTGTAAACAAAGTCACATTCCACTTAATTGTGTCAGTGATCAAGTAAACTCAGTTAGCTCTTTATATTGCTCCACAGATGTTGCTTCTCACGTCTTGTCCGTGAATGCTTCAGGTGAGTAAATCGCCCACGTACTGCATTGCATGCAGCTTCCTTTGCCGCTTGATTCTGCTTTTACTCCCCATTATCGCTGCCAGTTACACCCTGTAGTTACATTAACTCATAAAAACGAATGAATTAACCTCTTATTGCCCCGTTTTGTCAGAATATTTTTAAGAACTGTTTCTTCCACTCCTTCCTCGTCTTCTTCTACTTCTACTTCCCTCTGTTCAATTACTGCCTCATACTGAAAGGAACACCTTAACATTACGGGCCGGTACGCGTAAATGATTTACCCGGGTGGGTTCAAATGGTTTAATCAACTGTTTAAAATGTTAGATGACAAACCTGAATAAGTTTAGAAAACGACATCAGATAAAGCGATGATTTTTGCTTTTTATAATCCAACCAGTACTGTCTCTGGCTATTCCGAAGCTTTCCTCAGTTGTGAAAGTATATTTCGCAGTATGTCCATGACAGCGCGTCTAATGGGTCTTAACTTCCAGCAGTAAATAACAGGGTTTAAAGATGAATTGAGTAATACCAGGGTCCATGTATAAATTGTGGACACCTTTGTTTGGGCATTTGATCCCTGTAATGCGATGAAAGCCAAACTAAAACTATTCGGCAAATAACAAAACAAAAACACGAGATACACATAAAATGTGCCGACTGCAGATTTGCTGGCGCTTGCAACATTTGCGGCCATTTCACCATTCTGGGCTTGAATTTGATGTTTGTGTCGTCGCACGGCCAAATAAATCCTGAAATATAGGCACGCTGAGACCACGTAACATATTATCCCATTGATTGCAAAAACCACGTAAGTAATATCGGTAGAGACCAAGAACCTGAACAATGCAAAAAGCACACTCAATATCCACATCACGACTACTACACCACCAACACGCCTGTGAGTCACAAGTTCCTGGTATCTGAGATGAAGGTGAATTGCCAAGAACCTGTCTACACTCAGAGCTGCGATACCGAAGAACGAAGCTTTAGACAACGAGTTTGTGATTAACGTAAATGCTGTATAGGCAGCACAAGTTGGATAGTTTTCCATATTTTGCCTTAGCCATTTGATCAGAAATGCGATGTTAAAAGGATGGCACAGTAAACCAACACCAAGGTCAGTAAAAGCAAGACTCAGAAGCAATGTTCTTAGAGGCTTTGACAAGGAGGAAGCTTTTCTTAGCGCCTGGATTGTGACGCTGTTTAATGCGATGGCGGTAATGGTTAGGAGAACGTTCAAGGCACAGCTAACGATGTACCATGGATAGAAATCTTCAACCTCGGTACCGGTGGGCTGGTATATCAGTAGCTCGTCACAGAGAGGATTTTTCATGATCTTGAATTGTAGATTCGGCCGCAGTACTAAACGTCTCACGAGTTTTTCAACTCAGCAATAAGATGCTTTCTTGATCCTTTTAATTGTCATTTCATCACAGTTAGATGAAAGTCATAGGTACTCTTACTGAGAAGTCAACTGATCATCATCCAGAATATTAGGTTGTTTTTATAATTATTTCTTTTGTGAAGGCGTACAATATTTATCCAGCTGTTCACGTACGTGAATAAATGCTGTATTTGACGTCTGCCCACGTTCAGTGACCTTGAAAGACTGACATGGCGGTATTGTTTTTCATTTGTTTGACCACTACTCACGTGAATATTCATTTTTCACGATTAAAAATTATAATGACATGTTTCGTCGATTAAAAATACCCGCCCTTGATGAAGGGCCTTCACTCGAATAAGCGCCCTTATGGAGTCAGCAAATGTAAAACTCACCTCTATCCTTGAAAAATGAATGTATGAAGTAAGAGAATGCACAATTACTCGAGGTTTTTGCCCAAAATAAAATTGTATAAAAATAAAGCTATTTAAATCATTAAAAACTGAAAAAATAATAAACACTGCCCCTGGCGCTTAATGAGATAAATATTCGTTAACTTCTTTACCATTTATCTGCATATTCCATATTCATAAAACCCCCGTAAACCACATGTTTCTAGTTTTGTTTCCTTTGGCTAAAATAAAGTAAGAATATTACTGACCAACGCAACTGATTGACAGAGAAGAAGTGTTATATGAAATACTGGTTCACCACGTCGAGATTCACCTGTCCATGAAATTGGTAACCCAATCAGCATGATTTCAGCTAGCAGTGAAATAAAATTGTATAATAACTAAGTGGGCGCCATTATGAAAATGTCCCAACTTAAAATTTGTGAATTAAAAGGTGCCTCTGGCGCCACCTATCGTGACGTTCTCCTAACCCTCACTATCATCGAAAAACGGTATTCAATAACCCTTTATTTGTACTTGTCAGTAAATATTTAGTGTTTTAGTCCAACCACCAACGTAGTTTTAAAAGTTAAAACGTCTCTATGGTTGCGTGGATATAGAGCTCTCACGAGATGCTTACAGGCATGCTAAGCTTTTCTGATCTGTGACGTAGAAACCATAGAAAAAATTGAAACATTTAAATTTCAAATACACACCAAGAGTCCATTCTGACATGCCTAAGTACAAGTTCCCTTTTTCTTTTAAGAAACAGGAACTTGTACTTTTTAACTTGAACTTGAACCTCTCGGAAAATTGTTCGCTGATCTCGGAACAGATAATGTCCGCCCACGAACATTCGAGCATATTACCGAGCCAAATGAAGGCTATTTTTTATTTTATTGCGTATGTAGAGGTATCTCTTTTATTATATCATTAAGAATTGGCCGGTTGAATAATCGGAATTTCAGAATCTAGACTTTGATTGGCTTACCGGCCATTGGATATCGGCCACTTTACCATACACCCCAGCAGTGTTGACAAGATCGTCATCCAGTTGTTTTTCACAAAATAAATTTGCAAAATTGACCGATATTTAGGGGTTTTTTGTTCACTAAAATTTATTTCAGTCACGTACATTTGTTGGATATTTTTTTCAATTTAGTCAATTCTGCGCTATGCATGCTATTCGCAACGTTGACTGTCCTCCATTCTTATGTCTAACGTAAGCTCGTTCAATAATTGTTACTTAGAGCCCATCAGAGCCTGTTGAACGCAGAAAACGGTACAGGGAATTTATTGTCTTTTCGTGGTCTAGACCCAACGTCTCACACTACTTTTTTCTCGTTGGATTTAAGATTTCTCATAACTCTTAGCTGTCGATCTATATATATACCGATTGGGTTTTTTTGTCATAAACACATGCTGTAACAAATACTTCGGATAAAAAATGTGTAAAAAGGCATAAAGATCTAGATGACATGAAATATTACGATATACGTTGATATTCGTATCAATTATCTGTAAAACCATTGAATAAGGTAGTAGATGGAAATATTGTAGTCTTGAAAGAGAATGCAAGGACGAACTCATACTCAAAATTTGCTATATTACTTGCAAAAAATTTCTGACGATTTTAATTTCGGACAAAAAGTGTCCGAAAATAGAAGCGTCAGAGATATTTACAGTACAGTATAAAACTTTTAAGTAGCTCCAAAGCTCTCAGTTCCCGTTATGGAGCGAAGTCTAGTTGAGGGACTGCTTGAGATAGGTAACGGCTCAATAGTACTTGTGTTGTTTTCCTGCGACGTATCTCTAAAACCTTGAGGGTGCAGTAAAACTATCATTTTCACACATGTTGTTTCAGTCTCATTCGTGTTTTGTAGGTGTAAATTTATTTTAGCTATGTGTCAGCAAAGTGTCCGAATTTTTTGTCTGAAATTTGTCCGAGATGAGATAAGAAGTGTCCGAAAATTAAACGTTCGGGAAAAAATGTCCGAAATTTTTTGCAACTAATGTACGCGTTTTTGGCTGTCTTGGAGTTGAATGAACTCGTCACTGGTTAAGACAGACAATGCGAGATCTACTCGGTATACGAGTGACACAGAATTGCTCGAGTTCTACTTACGTGAAGTGGGCTTGAATAGATTGAAGTGATTTCTTCGGTATAAGAACTCCCAGCACAGACCAGTAATCAAAAACAAAGCATAAATACACACGGAGGCGATCAAGAGCTGCTGATTGGCTGTTGAGTTGATTGACAAGACACCCACTGTATCAGTAGCTGATCCCAAGGGCTGAAAGGGTAAAAATATCATGAATACGAGGCTTATTCTGTTCATTCTGTCATGGATAAAACAGAAATAAAATACGTTACTTAAAGATTAGATACAGACTGCAGAAGGTACATGGAAAGAACCTAGTTCAGTTTCGAGCTCTGGTGTTGAGTGAGTTTTGAAACGAACTGCATTTTCAGGGAAGGGGAACTGACTTAGTTGCTGCCCTTATGACTGCTAGCTTGTAGGTTAGTAACAGTGGCTCTTCACTCTTGTTCTTGTTTATTCTGGGCTAGCTTCCGAATTTATATGGTACCCCAGTTGTGCTTCCGAGTCTTTAATGTTTCCAGGGAAGAGGAAAGGTGACCCTATATGGTACTGATTGGTATGTTGGTTTAGAACCACTTAGGATTTCCATTTTCAATTTTAACAGCTACGCGTTATATATCGTGGTACCTCTTGAGGTATTTTTTCAAAGTAAAGCACACAAAAGGTTAACTAACAACATAACTTTTTGGCTGTAGGCTGACAGGTGTCACTTACAGGTGGTATCGGTCTATGGTAAGTCTACAGCGATACATTTAACGATGTAACCTGTGAATATGGATTCTGGCTTTTTCAGAGGTTTTTCTGGCCCATCATTTTTATATGGGAGCAGCCCCTGTGATCTTAGAGATTTCTCAGCACATAGAACCGTAAGATAATATAACCGGCTTTTCGCAATCTTCACTTCTACTCCAAGACCACACACTCGACGTCAGCTCAAATACAGTTTAATGACGTATATTTTTATAACTATGACAAACCTTCACTGGGCTTATGTAATGTTTCATCGTTCTATCCACGCGATGCGAATTGGCGAAAAATTTTGTCAGACATCCATTCTTGGCTGTAAACTCAGGAAAGCCTCTGTCCGCCAAAGCGACTTCATATTGCAGTGAAACATCGAGGAGCAGGGCCACTCGGAAGTGATCGTTTTTCAGTTGGTCCAGGTAATAATAAGCTTTATACCTGTCCAACATGACGCCCTCAACTTCACCTGCTTGTAAGCTGTCAAACATCTTTGACTCCATCTCAAACGCTGTAAACACCAAAGAAAAGAAATGAGTCTTAAAGGTTAAACGCATCAAATCAAGAGTGCGATGAATCTCAAAGGCGTAAATCGTCCTTCATTTTGCTGTGAAAGTCAAATTATATATCCCTCATTCCATCGCTCAGTCTCTCTGATTTCTCCTCAGTACCTCCTTCCTTTTACCCCTTCATCCATCCATGATCATTCCTCGCATCCTATATCCCTCCTACGGTTCTCGGATCTCTAATTCTCTCTCTTTCTCCCTCTCTCTTTCCTTTCTTAAATAACTCCCTCCCTACGTTTCGCCCTCCTTTCCTAACTAACTACCCCCCTCCAGTCCCTCTTTTTTTCCTAATTAACTCCCCCCCCTCCATCCCTGGATGGGATGCTCGTTCATCGTAGGGTTAGGCCCTCCCCCCCCTCCCCAGCATTAAATTGGCCAGTACCCATTTATACACCTGTGGAGAGAGGCACTGTGAAAGTAAAGTGTCTTGTCCAAGAACACAAAACAGTAACACAGGCCTGGGCTGGAAATCGGACCGTTCCATCCAGAGTCCAGCTCTATTGTGTCTCTCTATCATTTTCTAGTTTATTGGACTTCAAATAATAATATTATGAGCTTGGGCACATGAGAAAGAGATATTTTGATCAAAACTCTGACCAAAGAGTAATATAGTGTAAAAAACGTTACTCAAGAAATACTTGTTACATTCGCCCCTTGATGCCTGGCTTCCTTTTCAGCAGCAGACCCATTCAAAGCAGCGAGCTAAAAAAAAGTAACGAAAAAGAAAACAGTGCTGATGTCTTAATAGGTCAAATGCCGCCTTACATACTTAACTCTTAATTCCAATGGCTGACATGGAGATTATCCTTCTCAATTTCTGTGTATTTTCTGTTCATACTCTTGGGAGAAATTGCGTTTCAGTGGAAGAGATTTTCTTTCGATTATGCTCACTCGAATTTGTCTTAATAAAGACTACCCTGTCGTATTGTCGCTACTTCTCTCCACAATAACTACGATCGCTGAAAAGTGGTTTCCATACAAGGATCGCAACGATTGCTGAACCCTTTCTTTGTAGCGATTGTAATTTTGGTTTGAAATGCATGCATCTAGATACACTCGTCAAGTATTTAAAAAGTAATCATTCAAAGCATGTGGTAAATTTTAATCAAAGCTATTTTTTTCTTCTTAATACAACTTTACACAGCGCGCGGCACGGCGCGAGGTGGGAGCACAAGGTGATGTGGGTAGGTCACTTCTTGCTTCCTAACCACGCACTTCTCGAACACCTTGCGCTGTACCGCGTGTCGTATGAAGACGACTGAGAACGAGTCAGGGCTTAACGAACTCAACTCATAGATCGTTGCGTTGCGTCTGATTTATCACACTATTTTCGTGCTCGTATTATTCGGTCTTAGAGACAAATAGAACAAATAGAAGTTGTCCACCTCTTAGATCTGTTGTCCTGTCTAAACAGGTAAAACAAGAAAGATCGCTTACGTGTTTTCCTTGCGTGCTTTTACAGTCGGAGTCGACAGAAGATACAGTGATTGCACTGGTCACAGCAGCAGTAAAGATGGCGATAAGACAGACGCCTGTGAGAATCCACAGCACGGAAAACATTCGACCGTATATTGTCCGGGGAACCTTGTCTCCATACCTGAAAGAGTAAATTCGATCTTTCACTGAATCTGTAGGTTCATTTAGGAACAATTGAAAGTAACGGATAGAAAGGTATTAGTTTCTGAAGAAACTGTCGGGCTGCGTGGCTTGGCAAGCGAAACCCTTAGTATGTGCTCTCACTGGTACTCCCACTGGTAAGGACTAACGCTCAAAACGTTATTTCATCAGCTTGCTGCCAGGTTGATAAATAGCCAAGTCTTGTGTAGCTGCTAGTCTTTGTGCAGACGCTGTTTGGGCCGGGTCGTCGCGCGATCTCGGGGAGGCGCGAGTTGCTAGCCATCAGAACGTCTTCGATAGCGGCTAGTCTTTGTCATGCCTTGTGAAATCAAATAACACAAGCTGCGATGTTCGGAACGGAATTATGATCGCGTGAAAAATAACGACGGCAATGCACATGATATAATTTGATAGTACCAGCTCTCGCTTGTTTTTACCGTACTGTAGTCAAGTTAGGATGGCCTTACCCGACCGTTGTCATAGTAATAAGAGCCCACCAGAATCCCTCGGATGATCCCTTTCCAAAGGATAATGGGAAGTCTTGCTGGTTGCTGCTGCTTTCCTGGAAATGAGATGTCATTTATATTGTTTGTGATTTTGCACGCCATAATAACAAACTAAAGTTATAACTCTCTCCAAGGCATAGTTGGAACCCAAGGGATGGGGGATACTCCCAGAGAAATTGGATGGGGATGTACGGCCCGCTTCCCAAAACCCTTACCCTATTTATGACCTGACCAAAAATTCGATACCTTATTTATGACCTGACCTTTTAATCAATACCCTGTTTGACACCTGCCTTATAATTAAATCCCTAGTTCAGACCGATGTTGAAGGGATTGAGAAGGGCTTTTGTTGATGGTGTTATTGATAATGATGAAAACGAAGCTTCCGCTAAAAAACATACCCAATTCAAGACTAGAGTGAAAAAACCATACCCAATTTCCTGGTCTACCTGGTCTGTCTTATACAGTGCTAGTTGGAAGAGAGGAGCCCCTACGGTGACCTATACCTTAATACAGGCCTGTTCACAGGAATCGGTTTTCTGAAATTTTTCATTTGATGACATCGACCTCCATTGATAACGATACTGATGTGTCCATCCCCAAATAAAGAGGTCCCGGATAATAACAATAACAAAAGGACGTGATGCAAAGTGCGTGGGACAGTCTTTTTAAAATGAAATGAATCCTATTCAGCTGGCTAGCTCTCATTTCAGTGTCATTGCTTGGAAGTGTTTTCCCTTCCAAGAGCTGCGTGAAGAACTGGCTTGAGGCATTATTATTTCAAGGGCACGTTCCTGCAGTCCCTCCCTTTCAGATGTCGAGTAAAGGTAATTTTAATTAACTGAGGGAGTAGGGAAAGGTACAGACAACATACTGTGGCAGCTCTTAGAGCTCTATGAGCTCTGAAGAGATTTTGCTCGCGGGTTAGGAACAATCACAGAGCAGAGTGTCATATGCCGTACAATGTTAAAAGAGATGGTGACGACAAATATGAAGCTATCGGAAGTACTCACCAGTGCCCAGATAGAGATCCCCGAGATACCAGCCAGGAGTAAAATCACAGCACCAACAGGCCAAGCAGACAGGATTGTGCTGGTAGTCAACTTCTCTGTCTTCATCTTACAAGCATGATAATCGATCACCAAGGCTAGTCCAGGGGATTTGACGACGGTAACAAGCGTGACGCCAGTGAACCTCGAGTTTCTCAATTCCTCGGTCAGCGACGAAGAGAGAGACGGTGTGATCGGCATTGCGATATCTGTCGTTTTGTCTAGAACGACTGAGCTCAAACGATCTGCGGAGAAAATTTCTTTCCAATGGATCGCTTTCGTGTTGCAGCTGTATTGATGAAAACATCGGATTAAACCCCATTGTACGAAATCGTAGAGTAAGCCTTTCCACTTTGTGCCATTGACTTTCACGTATGGAGGGTCGTACTGGAACGCGACGGTGAAGTTCGAGCTCGATTTTGGGCAAACAGTTATTCCCCTGGTACACGTAACACCTGCAGAGAGAAAGAAAGCGAAGGAAACGAATAGCGATGTCTGAAAAGAGGTTTTCTGGAAAGCCATTATGTCTTTGGATCAGGTTTCAGCTAGCTAACGGATGTTCCTGTTGGCTTGTCATGCAATCCTTGCTCAATATTAGTGTATTGTGAGACACAGGGGAGTGGGGGCTTAGGGGTGGGGTGGGAGGGGAGTGTGAACGTCCCGCTCCCCAAACATTTTACACCCAATTTTCGTCTCATCTTTTTGTAGCTGTCGCCTTTTTGAGCCTTTTTTTTCTGCATTAAATGTCAGTGATCGACTGCAGTTACTCGAACCACAACCAGCCTTAGCTTTTCTTTTTCCAGGAAAAAAAATGTTGTAAAAGCACTAGCATAAATAACCGTACATTAAAACAATTCCTGTAAACGTGAATGAGAATTGCACTTAAATAGGTTGAAAGATACCGTAAGGTCGTCGATTTGTACGCGGCGGCGGGGGGGGNCGGGGTTCGGTTTTCCGTGATAGGCTTCTCGTATCTCCTCGTATGCTTCGGCCTGGGTTTTGTCATTAGTTATTTTCACACTTAAAATATCCGGTTTTTCGGTTTTGGTATCTGTTGTTGTTTTCTGTTTTCTGTTTTTTTTTCTTTCTTTTTGTATTTTTTTCTTTTTCCCTTTTTAGCTTTTGATGTATTCGCTTTGCGTTTCCTAGGCCTCCTCCTCCTAGGCCTCTATATTTCACTCGGGCAATCGGTGTCAGAGAAATACATGTAATGGTAATGGTAATGGTAATGGTAATGGTAGCTGTGCCAGATAGATGCAGCAAATGGAATTCATACTTGATAATTTTGAAGCAAGTCCTGCATTGCAGGTAAATTTGGTTCAGATGAGTTCTACATGAATTAGAAAAAATCTTCCATTTGGAGAAATTTCCGTACCATTCGCTCCCGTTACTCCCGACTCCCCACTACAGGGGCCGAAAAGTCACCTTCGTGCAACACAATCGTTCAGCTTACATGATGTGGCATTATTTTTCAAGATGGCGGCACAATTCGGCGTTTTACGTAGACGGTAGTATATTAAACATGTCGTTACGAGTTTGGTGTGCCTTGGTCACTGCTCAGCTTGGTTTAGGAGCTTATGGTGTGATCGTCACAAAGTTTGCTAAGGGCAGCAAAGCAGATCCTCTGGTGTTTTGTCTGTTGCGTGACGCGGGAGCCTTTCCCTTGATGTTGTTAACAGCGTTTCTCGTCGAAGGAAAAGTTAGCATGCCTTCTCTGAGGTAAGCAAACTATACTAAAATTTTGTTTCATTGCATGTATTGCGTTGGTCTTGGTAGGTTGGAAGAAAGAAATCGTTTCTTGAAAATTGATGGACATATATATATTTGATATTGTACCTGTGTCTTCGAATTTTGATTTGATCGTCAAGAAGACGTAAGATGGCTTTCAAGAATGCGAGAAAAAGCCGATACCGTTTTTCATATTGGTCGTGTTGTCTCCGAAGTTTGCTAAGCGAACTAGTTGGAAGCGGAACTAAATTAAACTTTGGATTTTTCAGTGATCATATCAACCTAAAATTTTATTGAGCGTTCGATTTCAATGCTCTTTGCACAGGCGGACCACCCTATGTGTTCGTGGTTAATAACAGAATTTATTATATGGCTGTGTCTCACAAGGACTGGGAACTACCGAATTCACGAATTTGATTGGCTGAAATCGATATTGACCGCGGTCTAGATTTTCCCATCTAGACCGGCAACTAGACCGGTTTCATTTTGCGTTGGAAAAGTAGCAAACTAAAACACAAAAATGTTCACCATTTTCTTTTATTGTCTTCTCAAACATTTATGGAAGCGTCAAAAAGCCTGATGACAAAAAAAAAAAGGTAAAGAAGACGAGCAAATTTCGGCAGGTTTAAGTTAAGCTCATCACCGTTCGCAAGCAAAATGTCAGCAAATTAATTACATTACACGAATTAAAGTTTTCTTCTTTGCCATATAATAAACATCTTATTAACTGAGTTAAGTCGGTCTGTATGGGAGAATCTTGACCTCAGTTGTGTGTACAGACCTCACTGCATTCGGTCTGTACTCACGACCTTGCTCAAGATTCTCCTATACAGACCTCCAGCTTGGTTAATAAGAGCTAACTATGAGGGTTATGAATAAGAAAAGAAAGGGAGACAAGTTTGTCTTACAGGTCACTGACCAAAAGTAATTTCTTNGCACTCATATCAACGGCCCAACCACCAGATGCCTAAACCATGCTGAAACCCAACTTAAAAATGGCTCCTTTAGGAGCCACTGGCCCCCATGGGGACCCGCCAAATCTGAAAAAGTCATGATCAATAAGAATTGAGTGTGGTTTTCTCTTGTATTCTTTTTTTTTCTTTCTATTACGTCCTGACTAAATATTAAAAAAAACAAACAAATCACGCAACATCAGGTTCGAAAACAAAAAGACCCTGAGTCTTCAAATTTACATGATTGTATAAAATGCTATCATGATGTTTTTATCTCTCCTATAGAAGCATCCCCCTGCTCATGGTCCTTGGTCTCACAGGCATGTTTGCTACCCAGTTGCTCTATCTCCTGGGTGTGTACTTGACAACAGCCAACATGGCCGCTATGTTTCAACCGGCAGTTCCTGTTTGGAGTACTTTTCTAGCGATGATATCCGGAGTAGAGCCACCTCCAAGACTAACAAAATCACATGGTTGGGCCAAAATTTTTGGTGTACTTTTAGCAGTTACTGGAGCTTTCACAATGACGCTGGGAAAATTTAGGAGGAATTCCAGAGAAGACTCTTGGTTAGTGAGTGGTTCATCTGTTGGGAGTCAGTTTCTTGGATGTATTTGTCTCTTTGCCAAAACCTCAAGCACTGCTGTGTATTTCATAATACAGAAGAAATATATATTTAACCAATGTCAATCAGAATGGAAAACTCGGCCTATGGCTGTAACTGCCTGGAGTTACTTCTTTGCTACAGTTTTCCTAGCATTTGCTTCATTAATCTATGTTAAACAGCCAGAGAAGTTTACAAGTTTTTCCCGAGAAGCCTTTTACTGTTTAGTTTATGCAATTTTCATTACTTCCACCATGTGTTATTTGCTTCTGTCGTGGTGTAACATGCAGGTGCAGCCAACAATTGTTGCAGCCTCCTGGCCACTTCAGGCCTTGTTCTGTGCAATTCTGTCCTCTGTATGTTTAGGACAATCACTGCAATTCTTAGAGTGTTTTGGTGGGAGTTTTATAGCCTGTGGACTTTGTGCAGTTTTGTGGTCGAACAACAAAGTGAACAAAGAATTATATCTATTGCAAGCTAAAAAGGAACCAGATACACTCTAGCTGTTAGAAAAGGTTAACTCAGATAAACTCAGACAGCATTGAATGAGCTTACATGTATATAACCCCAAGTTACAGTACTTGTGAATAAAAATGGTCTACTGTTTTTAACCTGTAAGCTAGAGAGTACATACGGTTGCTGTTCATGTATGATCTTATTTATTCCAAAGAAAACAGGAAACAGTAATATTAAAAATAATATTATATGTACCAAGATGTTATGTTTCATTTAGAAAGTATATAATAAGTAAACAAGTTCAAGAGGATCACGCTCAATGCCAAAGTATTGCTAACAGCATGGGCATGTTTATTAATTTACTGCATGCAAAACACTCAAGTTTTTAATACATGATAACTTTGTTTGTAAGGATTATATAAATGCATGTTGGAAAATTATAATCAGGTTAAGTACCAATAACCAGAGTTTGTGTGCTTAGGGAGCACCTGCATGCTTGTACCTTTCTTTCCCACGATTTTTTTCCCCAAAGATAAGATTAGGACTGAGACTGACAGCAGAGAAGACCAAGTAGTGGGGGTGTGGGGAGAGAAGGGTGTACTTTCTAGAATTGATTGCATAAGTTTTGGTCTCAACACTGACTCTGTGATTGGCTCCTTTTGATGGGCCTGTGAATTTTGAAAAACCATTCTGGGAATCATGATTTGAGTGTACACCTTGAGATGTGTACTTCTGTGGATCATCAAACAAAAATAGATTCATGAAATGTAAAATCAACTTTTGTGACCTTGTAAATTAAGATTCCCCGGCCCCCGTTCCTTTCCCCAGAACCATCTGTCCCTTTCAGCTATATAGTGGGGCCTTGGCCTGAGGAAAAGATGGCCCTGGATTCTTGGACTAATTAAGAGGTTCACTATATTCAATGCTGGTTTCCCTTCCTGAA